ATCGTTGTGTGAGGCACCACTGTAATTGATTTTCTTTGGTGTGTATTTTTTCCAGATGATAACATAGTCAGCATTATTTGTATAAAAATGGTGGTAGTGACATCTTTTATTTGCTTTTAAAAGGAAATCTGAGTGACTTTCTTAAAGGGAAGTAAGACTTGTTATCAGTGAAATTAGTCTTATTCTCAGTGAGACTTGATGGCCCACTGGTTGACTGAAGCACTCAAGTTCAGTGCAGAAGTTGAGAAAGATACCTTTTGGAATGTAATTCCCAGAATCCCCTAACCATCCAGCTTCACTCTTAGCCATGGTGGCTGTGGGATTCTGGAAGTCAGAGTCCAAAAAGTGTCTTGATTCAGTGGCAGAGCTTCTCTGATTTCTAATTGCTAGAGTAGGGATGAGGTGTAAGGTGAAAGCAACATCAGAGCAAAACTGTTATCTTCAGACCAGCTTTAAAGCCTTTTTGGAAGGATTTGATGAAGTGACATGGTGAAACGTGCTGATAGATTAGAGGGTGGAGTTTTGATCTTATCTGGCAGGGCTACCGTTAGGTTTCGTACATTCCAATTTTACCGTTTTTCTACGATGGAATGAATATTTTTCCTGCATAGGTGACAGATGGGACACTCGGCACCTCTGAGCTCAATGATACAGAAACTCAGAACCATCTGCTTGGAACTAGTGGGCTTATTCTGCTGCTCTCGCCTCAAGTGAGAAGTGAGGAAGACATTTATTGGCTTTCAGCTTTGCGTCAACTGAAGCGTCTCCTTCAAGCAAAACATTTTCAACCAATAATACCTTTGGTGGTCCTTGTGCCAAATCATGGAGATGAGGCTGTGGAGAAGGACGTAGAAGATGGTACATTAATTTTATGTACTTTGGAATAATTGCCTTTGTTTGAGCTTGAACCAATGTGATTATTACTGCTGCTTATAAATAAATATAATTCTTGGAGCACTAATAAGAATTTAGGAAACCCAGGAGCAGAAGTCTTTTAAACCAAAAAGGAACATTTTACAGATGCATTGTACCACAATTTGTGTTGCAGACATACTAGTTTTCAGATTTGTTTTTCCAACATGAACGAAGGACACTGTTGCAACATGTTGTTCCTCTCATCTGTTTTCTTAAGCAGGTACTTATTTAACCAGTTTTGTGGGCTCCATATAGCTTCTCATTTGGGAGAACAACCTGGAACTCCAGTCTAATTTCCCTCTGTTTCATTAGGCTGTGTGCTGATTCATTACTTCCTTGCTGCTTTTCTTTCTGGGGGAAAAAGCTTTCATCTTTTCCATTTCTTTCGCCTTTCCCACCTCTACCTGACAACTTGGCAGTCTGAGGAGGATAGACTCAACGGGAAAAAGCCAGCAAGGAGGGCTACAGAATATAATTTAGAAGCAAATCTCACAATTTCCTCATTCTCAACCATGACACATTCCATCCTAAAGATTAAAAAATGGAACAAAAAATACACTAATGAATTTTGAGCGGAGAACAAGTACAGATAGCTCCAGTGCTAATGAAGTGGTTGGACCAAAGCCAAAATGACGCTCAGCTGAGGATGCACCTGAATGTAAAGGAAAGTCCGATGCTGCAAAAAAAAATACTGCATAGGAACCTGGAATGTAAGATCTATGAGCCTTGGTCAGCTGGATGTGGTCAAACAGGAGATGGCAAGAATAAACTTTGACATCCTGGGTGTCAGTGAACTAAAACAGGATGGGAATGGGCAAATTCAATTCAGATGATTACCATATCTACTATTGTGGGCAAGAATCCCATAGAAGAAATGGGGTGGCCCTCATAATCAAGAAAAGAGTGGGGAAAGCTGTACTGGGATACAATCTCAAATATGATAGAATGATTTCAATACGAATCCAAGGCAGACATTTCAACATCACAGTAATCCAAGTTTATGAACCAAACACCAATGCTGAAGAGGCTGAAATTGACCAATTCTATGAAGACTTACAACACCTTCTAAAACTGACACCAAAGAAAGATGTCCTTCTCATTATAGGTGACTGGAATGCTAAAGTAGGGAGTCAGGAGATAAAAGGAACAACAGGTAAGTTTGACCTTGGAGTTCAGAACGCAGCAGGGCAAAGGCTAAAAGAGTTTTGTCAAGAGAACAAGCTGGCCATCACAAACACTCTTCTCCAACAACACAAGAGGCGACTCTACACATGGAAATCACCAGATGGGCAGTATCGAAATCAGATTGATTATATTCTCTACAACCAAAGATGGAGAAGCTCTATACAGTCAGCAAAAACAAGACCTGGAGCTGATTGTGGCTCTGATCATCAGTTTCTTATAGCAAAATTCAAGCTTAAACTGAAGAAAGTAGGAAAAATTGGGCTAGTCAGGTACAATCTAAACCAAATCCCTTTTGAATACACAGTGAAAGTGAAGAACAGATTTAAGGAACTCTATTTGGTAGACAGAGTGCCTGAAGAACTATGAATGGAGGCCTGTAACATTGTACAGGAGGCAGCAACAAAAACCATCCCGAAGAAAAGGAAATGCAAGAAAGCAAAGTGGCTGTCCAACGAGGCCTTATAAATAGAAGAGAAGGGAAACAAAATGGAAGGGAGATAGGGAAAGTTACAGAATATTGAATGAGGACTTCCAAAGAATAGCAAGGAGAGACAAGAGGGCCTTCTTTAATGAAAAATGCAAAGATATAAAGGAAAATAATAGAAAGGGGAAAACCAGGGATCTGTTCAAGAAAATTGGAGGTATTAAAGGAACATTTCGTGCAAAGATGACATGATAAAGGACAAAAATGGTAGGGATCTTACAGAAACAGAAGACATCAAGAAGAGATGGCAAGAATACACAGAGGAATTATACCAGAAAGATCTGGATATCCTGGACAACCCAGATAGTGTGGCGGCTGACCTTGAGCCAGACATCCTGGAGAGTGAATTTAAGTGGGCCTTCAAAAGCATGGCTAACAACAAGGCCAGTGGAGGTGATGGCATTCCAGTAAACTAATTAAAATCTTAAAAGATGAGAGTGTTAAGGTGGCACATTCAATATGCCAGCAAGTTTGGAAAACTCAGCAGTGGCCACAGGACTGGAAAAGATCAGTCTACATCCCAATTCCAAAGAAGGGCAGTGCCAAAGAATGCTCAAACTACCGTACAATTGCACTCATTTCGTACGCTAGCAAGGTTATGTTCAATATCCTCCAAGGTAGGCTTCAGCAGTATGTGGACCGAGAACTCCCAGAAGCTCAAGCTGCATTTCGAAGGGGCATAGGAACTAGAGTGCTAACATGCACTGCATTATGGAGAAAGCCAGAGAGTTCCAGAAAAATGTCTACTTCTCCTTCATTGACTAGGGAAAACCTTTAATCACAAGACTTGGACCACAGCAATCTATGTCAAGTTCTTAAAGAAATGGGAGTGCCTGACCACCTTATCTATCTCCTGAGAAATCTATATGTGGGACAGGAAGCAACAGTTAGAACTGGATATGGAACAAATGATTGGTTCAAAATTGGGAAAGGAATACGACAAGGCTGTATATTGTCTCCCTGCTTATTTAACTTACATGCAGAATACATCATGTGAAAGGCTGGGCTGGAGGATTGGCGGAAGAAATATCAACAACCTCAGATATGCTGATGATACCACTCTGATGGCAGAAAGTGAGGAGGAATTAAAGAACCTTTTAATGAGGGTGAAAGAGGAAAGTGCAAAAAAATTTCTGAAGAACAACGTTAAAAAAAACTAAGATCATGGCCACTGGCCCCATGACCTCCTGGGAAATAGAAGGGGAAGATAGGGAGGCAGTGACAGATTTTACTTTCTTGGGCTCCATGATCACTGCAGATGGTGACAACAGCAGCGAAATTAAAAGACGCCTGCTTCTTGGGAGGAAAGCGATGACAAACCTAGACAGCATCTTAAAAGCAGAGACATCACCTTGGCAACAAAGGTCCGCATAGTCAAAGCTATGTTTTTCCAGTAGCGATGTATGGAAGTGAGAGCTGGAACATGAAAAAGACTGACCACCGAAGAATTGATGCTTTTGAATTGTGGTGCTAGAGGAGACTCTTGAGAGTCTCCTGGACTTCAAATAGAACAAAACTATCCGTTTTGAAAGAAATCAACCCTGAGTGCTCACTGGAAGGACAGATCCTGAAGGTGAGGCTCCAATATTTTGGCCATCTCATGAGAAGAGAAGACTCCTTGGAAAAGACCCTGATGTTGGGAAAGTGTGAATGCAAGAGGAGAAGGGGAAGACAGAGGGCAAGATGGTTGGACAGTGTCACTGAAGTTACCGACATGAATGTAACCCAACTCTGGGAAGCAGTAGAAGTCACGAGGACCTGTCGTGCTGTGGTCCATGGGGTCACGAAGCATTGGACACGACTTAACGATTAAACAACAATTTTTGATCATCTGCACAAGATGAGACCAACAGAAACAGTGCTGTCATTGTAAAAATGTTTGTTTGCTCAGTTTTCCTTTTTTATGCTAGGATGGACACAGGATTGCAGTGGAATTCTCAATTTGAAGTGTGAATCATTATAAAAATTCCACATGGAGACTGTCCGAATAATGGTGGAGGCTCTGTACATAGAAGACTTCCTCACACCTCTGGATCTCATTGAAGCATGCCACACAATACTGATTCACTCCCTCCACATTAATATCTACAGTTTGCTCACAAGAAATGCCATCATGAATACAGCTGCCTACCCAGTCATGGACATCCTAAGCCGTTGTGCAAATTTAACATCCAGAACCAGCATGACTACAGCTTCACACTTGGCTATTGAAAATGCAAACTTGTTAGCAAAGGAATACTGTGATGTAGTCTCAAACATTCTGGCATCAAGTAGGAATTCATGTATGGAGTTACACAAAGCATCCTGCAGGGCCTGCTGTAAATAGCATCAGAGGCGAAGGAATAAAATACATAATGCAAAGAAATCTACTGTTCTGGACTTTTTGCAAGGAGTGGAAAAGAAAGAGTAGTCTCCCAGCACACTAAAATGACAGCTTGTGGCCCTGGGCTCTACTCTGGGCTTTAAGCCAAGCAGCTCAAATGGAGTGTTCCTCAAGGCACCTCTTCTGTCCATAGGCATCTTTCAGATTTTCCCGTAGTATTAAAGGCACTTGGAGTCCCACCTTTTGAACCATTACAGAAGGTTTCATCAAGACTTCTACCACAGCAGATGCTGTTTCTCATAGCCATTACAATAAGTACCTGCCTATCAAAGCAACTTGGGGTGGGACAGCCCTTTGCAAGATATTCCTCTATCCTATTTATCTGCCTTAAACTACTTCATCCAGTGCTTGTCTAATGGAATAAGTGAGTAGTATAATTAAATGCTTTGCCTTTTCTCCTAAAGGTTTGATGTTGCCAGATTTGGTTTCAGCTAATCTTATTTCAAGCTATAACATTGTGGAAATACCAGATTCTGTGACTGACTTTCAGGGCACCAAAAAGGTAAGACTTGCTTAATTCATGCTTTTACCAGAATTAATTATTATAAATAGGTGAGGAGTGTTACTTTTGTTTCAAAAACATGCAGCCAATACTTCTGACTTGATGCTGCAACGAGACAGCAGGAGGAGGACGGAGCTCTGTCCCCTGGGCTGAATTCCGACCTGTTTGGGACCCCCCCCCCAGGGAGTTAAAGCCATCCCGAAAATAGGTGAAATGGGGGAGAAACCTGTTGATCACATTGGGAACAGCTGTTACCCACGTTTGATCTGGGAAACTCCCCAATCAACCAGCAGGCGGAAACAAGCAGCTGAACTAGCTTGCTTGCAAGTCATAGGCAGCCGGCAATGGAGAAGCGATAAAGCAGCCTAATTAACATCGTGTTACCACTGGGTGAGAAATATTTTTTAACTCTATTGCTTTACTATCCATGGATGAGACAATTCCTACGGCAGAAATAGCCTCTTCTATTCCTCGCCACTGACTGAGCAGCAGGGAATCTGGAGAGAGGAGGAGACACAGGGAGACACAAGGGAAATAAATTGGATATTAATTAGATAATTATACTTCAGGAAAGGAAGTTTGGTATTAGTTGTCATTATAAACTTAAGAATCTTTCTCCTGAAAACCCCATTGGCGACAACTCTGGGAAACTAAACCTGTTTATGCTACTCGTAACAGGTCCTGGCAAAAAACCTAGAATCAATGTCTTTGAACACTTTATGGCTGTTTGGAATTCCCTTTCTTTTTAAGGACAGAACTGAATTACAGATAAATTAACCCTAGAAAGCCTAATCCAGTCAAAGTGGAACTTCTAAACTGTATCTTGGGGGTTCTGAACTTGATGGGACCTTGAGCCTTTAGGTGGGGAAAACTTTCTACAGTGGTGCCTCACATGACAACGTTAATTCGTTCCAGCGAAATCACTGTAGAACAAAAATGTCGTCATGCGATTTTAAAAAACCCATAGAAATGAATTAAAACCAGATTAATGCGTTCCTAGAGGCTTCAAACTCACCGTTCAGCGAAGATCCTCCATAGCGTGGCCATTTTCGCTGCCTGTGCAGCGAGGAATCCATGTGAAAACACAGCGGGCGGCCATTTTGTTTACCCGGCAGCCATTTTGAAACTGCCGATCAGCTGTTAAAAAATCATTGCTTTGTGATGATCGGTTCCCAAAGCAAGGAACTGATCATCGCAAAGCGAAATTCCCCCATAGGGCACATCATTTTGCGATCGCTTTTGCGATCGCAAAAACATCAACGTCAAGCGATTTCGTCATCAAATGGAGCGCCTGTCTTGTGGGGCACCACTGTACATCTGAGACTGGACTCAAGCTTAACCTTAAATATGATGAATCTATTAAAGTGGACCTATGGAAGCAAGTATTGATGGAACTGGACTGATTACTTTAAGCATCTGGACAACTTTCACTTGGAATACAATTAGTGACATTTGAGACATAATGCCACAACAAGGACAATTTTGGGATGAAACGAAATCTGCTCTTCAAGCAATTCTAGAAATAGTGTGATCCCATAATGAAGAGGCTAAATTATTCAAGGAACAACTGAAGAAGAACTATAGTCAACAGGACACAGGGAATAATGTACAAGGAAATGAAAGGGCAGTGGACGATGTATGCCAATCAAAAGAGGGGCTGGATGAAATTAGAGCAGAAAACCTAGGAGATTTAACTCTAACCCTGGAGCTGAGGAGAATTTTATGTGTGCTAAGGGAAGATAAGGGGAGATAATCAGCGGATCTAACCTGAAAGATCTATTAGAGATAGATCAAATGTACAATAGACCCTTGACCTACGCATGGCTCAACACGTATACTTTTAGAGGTCTGGTCTTCTCCGGCCGCAAGATTTCCAATCGACTTGCGGCCGGAGAATCGACCTACAGACCAGAAGGGGGAGGCGGGGAAAGCGCCAAATTCAAATTTGGTGCTTTCCCCACCTCCCTCTTCCAGTCCGTAGACCGCTGATCGTGCCTCTGGATGCCTTCCAGGGCTTCTCTGCCACCATGGGAGGCATCTCGGAGGTCCCCCCCACTGCCGATCGTGCTTCGGAGGCACTATCGGCGGTGGTCGGGAACCTCCAAGATGCCTCCCATGGTGGTGGAGAAGCCCTGGAAGGCATGCGGAGGTCCCCCTCCTTCCTTTCTTCCCCTCCGGAGCCTTGCCTTGTCTCGGCTCGCCTGGCTGCCTCTTTGGAATTTTGCACTCGCCTCGCGCCGCCCACTGCCAACTTTTCCCCGGCACAGCGTGGCGGCAGCTTCACCTCTTCCCTCGGCTCCTCAACGTTGCAGGAGAGGTGAGACACCAGCGGAAGGGCGTCAGGGCTCCATGTCGGGAGATGCAGCCGAGAGCAGCGCCATGATCCAAACACGGGACCCCGGCGATGGCAGCAGGGGGGGTTGCATCTCTCTTTCTACGGGGAGGTTGTTTCTGGCAAGATCTCCCCTTCAAAACTTAGTCCTCATTTTGAAAAGCAGCAGCAGCCATCTTTTCCCCACCTCAGCTCTGGCAGCCTTTTCCCGCTCTAAGCCCACCGTTATGGGTAACCCAGGAAAACAGCCAACGCGGCTCATGGCCCAAGGGACAGTGCACGCGAGGGCTCCAAAATGGCAGCCTCGGTTTATCTCTCGGGTTTTTCCTTGAGGTTTCTATTGGAATTGGTTTCCTTTGGGGGAGGAGGGGGCAGTTAAGAGGCGATAGGTAAGCAGCGGCTGCCACCAGAACAACGCAAGGCGGCCGTCACTGCAGTGAAGCTGATGGACAGGAAATCCCTGCTTCTCTTCCTCCTCCTCTGGCTGCACCTGGGGATCCTGCATGGCTCTCCCCCTCTCCGCTTTGTCTATAGACATGATAGAAAATGTGGAGATAGAAATGGCTAAACAATTATATAAAGAAAATCTGTGTAAAATGCTTTAGATAATATCTACTATGTGTTAGGAACCTATTCAGTTATTACTGCTATAAAATACAAAGTTTGTCGGTTAAATCAGTGGTTCTTAACCTTTTTGAAAGAAACGCCCCCTTGAGCCATTGAGGAAGTTATCACCGCCCCCCTCCCCGCGGTGATGATATCTTTTTAATTTGTTTGTTTGTTTGTTTGTTTGTTTATTTATGACACTTAAATCCAATGACCACTGAAAACAAAATTCAATTCCAAGAAAATGAAATGCCCCAAAAACATTTAATGATTTAGTTGCAAGTGAATTTTAAGACGCAAAAAGAAATATAAAAAGGGCATAAAAACAAACCACAATGCAGGAACTAAAAATTTCAAGACGAAAACTCTGAAACTAAATTATGATTGGAGGAAAATATATATTCATGCACACTGTAAAAAGGCTGCAGCCATCTTAACAGGTTTGGCTTGCTCCAGCGCCCCCACACCGCCCCTTTTCGTTCTGTCGCCTGAAAAATGAAATCGCCCCCTGGGGGGCATTATCGCCCACGTTAAGAACCACTGGGTTAAATCACCTCAAAATTATATAGATTTTGGTATGTTAATAGAGGATTTTGAGAACATTGTATACTCTGAGAGCAATATTATGATAGTAGCCAATATTGTATAGTAAAATATACACATGAATGGTCTAAATATTTAAAATATTTAAAATATTTTTATTTAAAAATGTATAGATTTTGAAGGGACAATTAAGACCAAGAGACAAAAAACAAATAATCATAAGCAACCCATGTAACACGATGTTTAACAAGCACAAATTGAATGTACAGTGGAGTCTCGATTTATGAACGGCTCCACTTATGTACTTTTTGACCTATGGACTTCTCTGGCCGCAAAATTTTACTTCGACATCTGAAGAATCAACCTACAGACCAGAAGGGGGAGGCGAGGAAAGCACCCAATTCAAATTCGG